GCAGATCTGTAGGTAGATTGTGGTTAAATTAATTAAATGGTTGAACAAGTATTCTTGGTGTGTGTTCTTTGTTCTAGTAGCTATAATTCCAGCAGTGTAAAAGGCTTAACAGTAGACTGAAATAAAGTAGAACAATTTTCTAATCATTTTCTAAATCACTTAATTACCGTGGCAATGTGATAAGTGCATTTCCTTCAGTAAGGGACAGCTTAACAATAACAGACTCTATGAACTTAAAACACGACATTCAGTAAGCTAAAGGAATCGCTCTCTCTGTCAGTCAGTTTCCTTGTCCCGCTAATCAGTCTTTCTCAAAGTCCTTGTATCTCTCTCTCTGACTCTTCTGCTATCTGTTATCCAAAGCATCGTTAGCATCATGTAGCACACCATGTGGCTGAATTGTTTCTCTGTAAGAGTGTCACACACATATCTGTTCCCAGGATAACGTTGGGAGAAATGTATAAAAAGGCCCAACAGGATTGCTCTGACAAGCACTCACATAGACGTTCACCGAGAGTGAAAATAAATGCATTAGAACTCGCTCCTCTGTGTGTCTCACTTCATAAGGGAATTTTTGTGACAGCTAACCACACTGTGTCAATAATTTTTTTTGTTTTGTATTTTAGAGCAATAAGTTGAAAGTTGATTGAAAGGAAGCCCAGCTAAGCTACATGCTAACACTAGCAAACTTGCTAGCAGCAGTCATAAATTGTACAGGCGTAACACATGGACACACGTCTGAATCAGAATTTTCCTAAACAAAAAGATACATCCTGTCTTGGAAAGGATGTATCATACAGCAAGCCATGACCTTAGTTGTTATCATGTATTTATTTATTTATTTAAATCAGTGATTTATGAAAAGGTGCTAAAGGCACCTTTCTGTGTTTGCATGATCACTTAACCTGAAAAAGAGGATACATTAACCAAATAGTGGCTGCAGACATTTTGCATAAACAGCAGCAGATTTGAGCTGAAGGTTCACAGACACTTAGCTCAGTCTCGTCAGAGACGATTTGAGATAACCTTGTGAAGAGGCTCCACTGAGACTACGAAAATAACTTTTTATTTTTTATTGTTAAATGTATTCTAACAGAAAGCTTAGAGAGCTGGCAGCCAGAATAAGTGTGCCTGTAAGTGTGTATATATAAGTTAGTAGGGGTATTTCCTGGAGGTGGGAATCACCATACATCCCACGATACGATATTATCACAATACTTAATGCACAATACGATATTATTGCAATTTTAAAAAATATTTTGCGATATTCAGATTCTGTACATAACGGTAAACTTTATCAATATTCATTTTATCTAATATCAAAGTCTCGCACTCAGTCTTTCTCTCATTTCAGTCAGTTTTATTGTTGACAAACTGAACGGTTTGTATTACAGTCTAGTCCAACTTAACTGAATGCAACCATCTGGTACAATTATAGCTATTCTGAACTATGCAATTTATGAAAACTATGCAGCCCCTTCAGCAACTGAAGAATTTGAAAGTAAATTAAAACAAAATATAATTTTGCGTTAAATAAAAAAGTTTTAAACTTAATTAAAATAAAACGTGTCTTAAATTAAAATAAGTAAACTGTCATGTTTATTGCTGCCAAAAAAAAAGTTAAACACATTTGGACAGTGAAGGAATGTCAGGATTCTTGCTCAGAAAAAGGATCAACATGCTCTGAAGTCAGAGCACAAAAACCTTTTTGTAACAAAATATCGATTTCTGCTGTCCCTGTATCGATACATCATTAGCAAACAAAATATCGCGATACTACACAGTATTGATTTTTTTCCACCACCCCTAGTATTTCCTTGTTTGTAGCTGCAGTGCAGAGGATCCCCGCCCACACACATCTGCATCAATAAGGTGAAACCAGCTACTAAATGATTCACAGCTTATGTTTTAGTACTTAGTGACACAATAATCCATTAAAACACCATTCACCTTTGTTTTATTCACTACATACATGAACTTCTCTGAGGTCTTCCTGTTTTCCATCTTCAACATTTTGTCCAGTATATCCACTATCCCTTGTATGCACATGTCCAAATCATCTCACCTTTTCCTCTATGTTCTCTTGAAGCAGAACAGCCAGCAGTTTACATCATTACATCATCGTCTGTCTTTGCCGTGATGGAAAGTGTCTAGCCATGTAAACTGTTTTACAGAAAGGAATTTTACTCAACTTTAGATCAAGGGTATTTAAATGTTTCATAGTTGTTGTCTTCATCTTTCGGCTGCTCCTTTTAGGCATTGCCACAGTGGATGATTTTCCTCAATCTCACCATATTGCTAGCTAGCATCCTGTTCTGTCACACCAACCGTTTTCCATGTCCTCCTCCACTACATCCTCCTTATCAGTACCTAGTGACACAATAGTCCATTAAAACACACTCCATTATCCTTTATTTTATGCACAACATACGTGAACTTCTCTGAAGTCTTCATTCTCGATGTATTCTTCTGTCATAAATGACCGTGACATTCATTTCCACCCACTCCTCACCTTGCTTGTACTCTTTTCTGCACGTCTCTTGCGGACTGTCTGTTGCTTTGAATGGTTGACCACACGTTTACCTTACACTTGCCTTCCTGTCATGCACACATATATTGTGCTCCATACTCTCACTACAAATCACAGTGTGTACTGCAAGTCGTCCATATAGACCTGTCCATCACCACTGCAAGCAAGAATGGGCTCAGAGCCTGATACTTGATGTTATCCCAACCCACCTGTCACTCCTAGTGCACACTGGGTGGAATTTTGTCCCACTCTTCCTTCAGGCTTCCTTAGAACTCACTAGCCTTCACCTTTGCCACCTTTCTCTTTCCCTTTCTCCTAGCTTCCGAGTACTTCTGACTATGACTATGACAAACTACTACTACTACTACGCCACTTTTTCTTTGTTCTTTTCCTTCCTCAATCCACAATTAGGTCTTGTTGTCCCCTTAAAAGGTTTTTAACCCTCAGTTTGGATGCTAGCACAGTTTTAGCTGATTGTGAGTCAGTATCAAGTAGATAATTTGACATGGGTTGAATTGAAATGTTCCATAAACCATTATGAAATTACAGCCATTAGTTTATATGCTGTAGCCAGTACATGAAGGCCATTAAGGCTGCTATACTATATTATTTCCCATTATGATTCCAATAAGAGTCTGTGAAAAATGCATAAATTAATAGCTACATTAGTAAATGCTTTTGCCTTGGACAATGCTACACAAACACATACTTCACTTCCCAACTCTGCTCCGTGAGTGCTCTGTTCTTCAGTGCATTAATACAGTGTAACAGAGCTCCAGTTCCATACTAGTCTGAAGGCAGAATGCAGGCATAATGGCAGAGGCATTAACCCCAGCATTAGCATACCTATACTGGGAGACACAACAAGCAGCAGCCAAATATTTGTCGCTGCTCGTCCAGTAAGTGAATGATGTATCACTGGGAATTGGGGACACTGAACATTTGGGGGAGCATAAATACACATTTAACGCATCCCTACCCCTCCTCATCTCTCTGGTGGTGTGATTTGGTTTGCAAAGGCAAGCAACAGTGGAAAGAATTGGTGAGCTCAATTTTATTCCCCCCCCAGGAATCAGGATCCCTTCACACAAGGCGTCTGACCTGATTTAATAAGAATGGAGAGAAATCTGAGAGGTTTTCTTTTCTCTCTGTGTTGGCAACTGTACGGCTGACAACAGGAAGGACTAAGAAAAGCAGAAAGAGAAAGGGGTTCTGGTTGACGATTATTGGTGACAGGTCTTGGAGTCTGATGTGCCAATTGTAATCTGGATAGAGATGACTCATATAGTCTCGAGAGCTACTAACAACAACCTCAGTCACCTAATTATAGGAGAATTATACGGGTCACATCAGGTACAGCGAGATACCATCTGGTATGTATTAAGACTGGAATACTATGTTAGAGGACACTGAAAGACACTGAAAATAAGCAGAAAGAAGAGCCATTTTTCTTCAATATTTCCTAAAAGGCATCTGGAAAAGTTTGAATCAGATATGGCAATTTCAACTCAGACTTCATGTGTTTGTTTTGTTAGTCAAGCACGGCCCATTTTATACAAATTTTTTTTTTTTTGAAGTGGTTGAACTGTTTCACCAGTTAAGACGTTTTTAATTTGGCTTGTAGTAGTGAAGCAGGGATAAATGTGTCTGCAGTTTATCGATCAAGTGTCATTAGCGTTAGAATTTAACCTTTTCCTTGACTTCTTGTAAGCCGTCATCATTCTCTTTACTTGTTTTAATGTTTTTTCAAGACCAGCAGACACTAAAGTGGGCCTTGAATAATAGAAAATTCATGATAACTTAGCTAAACATTCTAACCTCATATTCACAGCTATTGCAGTGATGTATTCATTATTTATAGGTTATCTATTACCAGTAATGTAGTTTTACATATTAACCTACTTCTGTTGCTGTTAATTTTTTCCTGCTCCAGAAGGCCAAGTCATGATTTTAAATCTTTTTAGTCTAATAAAATAAAGTCATAACATTAGCCTGTTTTCTGTATGTACATTAACTTTAAAACTGTTTATGAACACACACACATATTTTATAGTTTATAAAATGCAGGAGAGGGAAAGGTGATCTTTAACTTTAAAGATCTTTAAAACACCGGGTTATGGGTCCATATGGGTTTTACAGTATTTTGTTTCACACTGACAAATTGTGGCTCTCTTATCTCATTTCCTTTGGTCTTCAAAATTGGTCTTCACGCTGCTGTAAACTAATTTTTGTATTTTTGGTATTGCAAAATAACTCAATTCACACTAAGTGCAGCTCTACAGCTTTCCCCTTGGTCTAAACTTGCTGGTTTGCATTTCAGTCTCTTTGTTAGTCTGTCTGTAATCTGACCACCATCCATTCACAGCTTCAGTGTTCAGTTTTCACCACCCATCCCCAACAATAATATGTGCTTTTCTAAGCTTCAAAAGCAATGTATTAAAAACGCGGCCTTTCTTCTGTATTGTTGCAGGCCAGGCCGAGGCTGTGCTGGAAGAGTTCAGCCCGTACTACAGGAAACAGTTCTCTGTGGCTCAGTTCTCTCAGGTAGAAGATGATGTGGAACAGCACAAACAGAAGATCACACAGCTGCTCAAACAGAGGGTATGTCTTTTAAAATGTACTGGAGAAATGTAACATCCATGATGCATGTGCTTCGTACAAACCTTATCTTAGCAACTTTTCACCCGAGCTGAATCAATAATAAACACACAGGGGTTTCCCCATGAAAGGGGTGGTGCTTGCAGCATCTGGCCAATCACAAACACAAATACCGGGAAGTGTAGGCTGCTGGGAACAGAGCAGCTGATTTTACAAAAGAAGATAACCCTATACTGAGGGGAAAATGAAGATGTTAAACACACAATAGAGACTGAAGTAACACTGCAATATGTGTGAGAGGTAAAAGCACTCTTTATATAGAGCACTAAACGTGAGTGCTTTAAGCTCTTCTGTCAATAAGACTGGAAAAGAGGATTGTCAAGGTAAATCTATATTTGACCATCTACTAATAAATAGAGAATACAACACGATAACCTCTAAACAATTTAATAATTGTAGAATAGCTGCATTTTGGAAAAGCTATACTAAAATAAGGAAGGTATAAAAAACAGAGCATTCACTGTGAAAGACCTGATCACGTCCTGCATTTTAAAATTGACCTGGCAGCTGGCAGTAAGAAACTCATTTTAATGAATTATTTTAAAAGCAGAAACAGTTAAAGTTCATCATGCAGTCCACAATAGCTTGGAGGCTCAACTCTGATATGTTCTGATATGCAAACTGAGTTTATAGTCAACTCAAAGACGAGCAGGCACAAATTTTCATGCACGTGTTCGTGTTCACCAGGCGGCTCCAGAGGAGGGTGAAGTGCTATATGAGGAAAGTGTCTTTTACTTTGATGACACCAGGAAGTGGCGGGAGAGGTATGTGGTGGTGAGAGCCAACTACTGCCTGGAGTGTCACGAAAGCGTTGAGGTGAGTCTGTGAAAGTGATGTCAGCAAATCAAAGGCATCTACATAAGGGGCCCCTCTTATTCATTCTGTGTCTTCTTTCTTCAGACCTTTGTTAAAGGAGCTCCTCCATGCCACAAGCTCCTGCCTACAGGGGGCAAGGTTCTGACGGCAGAAGAGGCGTACATGGCTGTAGTGGATAAATGTTTTCCTGATGAAAGCTGTGAGTAAAACACCTAAAACAACTATTTTTCTTTCTTTTTTTGTCACAATAACGTGGCGCACAGCGTGACGTGAAAAAGGGCACATACCTTTGACGTTGCGTGACGAACTCTGTATTCCTCGTCCACACGTAAGCGCAAAAAAGGGGTCTCTATTGTCGGTGATTCGAAACACCGTTTACGTGTGACCGAAAGGCCCAAACGCATAGAAACAGCTGCGTTTTCAAAAATACCCGTGTAGGTGTGGATGTAGCGTAAAAGAATTAGTAGTGTATTTTATTACTGCCTGTGATTTATTGCAGTTTACTTGTTTTTGTTTAATTGTTTATGAAATGTTAGAGTTTGGAAACAAAATATGGTTGTGTGAGGATGTGTTTGTAAAACAAAGGGAGGCCTAGCAGAAAAAAAATTGGGAACCACTGGATTAACATATGGTTTAAGAGTCATTAGATTCACTTACACTTTTATGACATCGCCTTATGGTACTGGGTTCTTAATAAAGCTTTGCAAATTTCCTCTATCACACAACAAAGCAATCATCAGACAGTAATTTTAGAAGATATTGAATTCCAGTAGAGAACATTTTCAATTTAATATTGTCTAAACTATATGTAGGCATTGCACGATACGTTTATATGTGCTATAAAGGGGACTATGGTCGTGTCTGTCTCCTGTCTTCAAATCTCTTCTTCTAAATTAACTCCCGATAACTGGCAGTTCAAAATAACGCTTACCTTAAACTTCCATTAGTATTAGCTACTCTCTCTTTAAAGCCACCTTGTTAGGAGATTCTGTAATATCAGTGTTAGTAACGTCAGCTGAATTTTTATTAAAAATCTTTGACAAATTTGGAAAAACCAATTGTAGAATATTAGATAATACCCTTTCTTCCACTGCTAATATTAATGTTATAGCAATTAGTTAGTATATTTAAAAAGCCAGCTGAATGATGAAAGTTTATATTACGCTTTATATTTTAGTAAGAATAATGTGTAACTGTGTGATGGGTTCATTTTCCACATTGCTCTACTCACAGCCAATGCTTTTATCTACCTTTCGCCGTCATTACTGTAATAAAACCATAGTTTTGGCTCGTGATGACATCATAGGCTTTATCTTAGACCTTTCTTTAACTGGAAAAAGTCAGTTGCTTTTGGTTTAATAGTAGAACAGCCTCTAACACCGTACTATTACGTATGAAAAGCTCAAATTTTCAAACTGGTAACAGTTAGAGATGGGAAAAGGGTACATAAAGCATCAAGCCTCTTAAGAAGCACAGCTAAAGACGAAATCATGAGAATTTAAATGTCCAAAAAGAAATGGTTATTTTATCAATTATTATTTTATAATAATAATCAACAATAATCTTAGCGTATATATGTTCGTATGTACCGTAGCTCCTCAGAGGGTGGGCCAATCTGAACTAAACCTTCTACACACATTGTGTCACACACAGTTATTATTAAAATCTATATGCTTTTCAAAAAGGATTCATTATAAATCCTAATATTTTTGATTTTCCTATATATTATGTTCATTTCATTGTCCCCCTGTAAATGTGATGTTCTCTGTTTGCATGTGTTTCATTTGTATTTTTCAATGGATGTTGCCTGTACACTACTTCATGACCAACAACATATTTCTAGAGTCACGCATTTCTGTCTGGTAATCCATGGGACGAATCTGGGTTTGGAGGGTGCCCAACTTTGTGGAAGGGGGGACGGACCTTTCCTGTTCCAATACAACTATTTTCCAGTGTACAAAACAAGGTTCATAAAGAACTTTAACACTTGTGGGATGAATAGAAACGGAGACCTAGACCTTCTTGTCCAACACCAGTGTCTGATCTCACAAATGTGCCTCTAGAAGAATCATCAAAAATTAAATAAACGCACTCCTAAACTTTGTGGAAGGCGCTTCCCAGAAGAGTTGAAGCTGTTATAGCTGCAAAGGGTGTGTCGACATCACATTAAACCCTCTGGATTAACAATTCTCAAGTTCATATGTATGAGAAGGCAAACAGGCAAATGCTTTTGGCAATATTGTCTGTAGGTATGTAGGGAATGATAAGAAAATTATGAATATCATATTAAGAAGAGATCAAAGGTTCAATGTTTTAGACGGTCAAACCCTCATAAAATGTTTGTCTTTAAAATTATGCTTAAAATGATACTGCCTTTGTAATGGCAACATCTAAGATATGATAAAATCACATTAAAGATTGCTTTCTAATATCGTTCACATTTGACCTCTGATCTCACTTTTACATTTCATATCTGCCTTTCTTTCAAGTTGATCCCAAAATGCATGGTATTTGTTAAGGAAAGTATTGTCAAGCGAAATGGAAAGAGCTGCTTAGTTAGAAGTATACTGCAGTATCATACTGTTTACAGTAATAAGCCTAAGTTATTCATCTCCAAGTCAATACCTATTTTCCATTACCTTCTCCTACATCATAATCAAAGTAATCTTGTCTAGCCTGCTACTGTCATCTAATTTTTAGTGCACTACAAAGTTAAAGAATAAATGGTTCTGGCCATTTGACAGCTGCTCACTAGCAGCACATGTAGACTTTCATCTACTCTTTTCTGTTTCAGGTGCAAAAGAGGACTTTGCTCCACCTATGGCAGGGATGCCGGGACAGTTTCCAGTCTACCTGCGTCTGCCCTACAGAAGGGACTCCTATTTCTGCTTCAAACAACAGGCCACACAGGCTACCTTCATTTCCATCCTATCAGACTGCATCAGACACCAGAACCAAGGTAAGATGCTACAGAAAAGGATGTTCTTACCTCCTCAGGCACACAGTTCCTCCTCTTACTAATAGTGTGAGTAATTAATGTTCATAACACCGAACAACCCTTTACTGATCTCTCTGAAAGTCTTCATAAAGTTCCTGTTTCAACAAGACTGAAGTGTTAATTACATATTTTAAATGTTAACTTGGCCAGTACACATGTTAACATTATCCATTAAACTAGCAGTTCTCTGGTAGTCACATGAGCCATCTGTTAACATTAACCCAGCAGTTTGTGGACTGTAGTCAGAGAAAAGATGAATAATAATGGCAGGCTGAATGGGTTGTGGATGGAGTATTGAGTGCTGACAGAGTGGCCACAGTATACCCGCCACAATGGTCGCTTCGCTCGGCCCCACAACCTCGTCTCACAGTCGCTTGTATTTACACCTGCAGTTAAGCTGCAGGAAGCTGCTGCATTCACACCTATGGGTAATTTAGAGTTTCCAGTTAACCTATCCCAGCTAACTGCATGTCTTTGGACTGTGGAAGGAAGCCGAAGTACCCAGAGAGAACCCACGCAAGATCATTAAAATGGTGGTAAAAACCAACATGATCATACAGTCGTGTCTTCTACCCAGCTGTGGCCGGATTACAAAAAACTGAGAGGATTATGACTGGCCGTTGTGCCACAAAGACTGTCGTGTGACGATTTTGTCATCTGAGCATCAAGATGAAAGATAAATATCTGCTGTGTGCGATCAGTGAAGTACTGTTAAAATCAGCTGATGAATAAATGATAAAGATAAAACAAGCGAGCGCAATGGCCCAATGTTTTGACAGTGAATTCATTTTCTCAAAGCTCCCTGCATGTCTGACTTTTTTCTCTTCCCTCTGTCAGACTTCCTGAAGAAAAAGACTTGTGAAGTTCAGGCCTTCCTTAAAGCTATTCAGCTCTACAGACAGGACAAAGGCAAATACGAAGCCTGGGACATGCTGATAGGAAGTGATGCAAGGGTATGTCTCTTTTCTTTATTTTTCTTAGCAACAGTTATTTCTCCCAACATAGTAATACTGAGGATGAATATTTACTTAAGTATAAATAGTGAAATGGCTACATAATTAATACATGTAAATACATTTACAAAATGAAAATTAAACGGATAAAGGATGGTACAGGAAAGCTAGGTTGACTTATTAGCTGTGTAACGCACCCCTGGACATGTACATGTGTATAGTGGCAACAAAAGGCATTCTGTCTATTCTACCTTATAGATGTAGATCAAACAGGCTTCTTATAAAACACACACATTGGCTTATGTTAGGAATCTCATTGACCAGATGCAAAATTCCTCTGAAGAATTAATAGTTTTAAGCCTTGAAACTTAAAAGGGCTTTGATTCAGTTTTTTTGGGGATACTGTTTTGGCTTTGATGTCTGTATAATCAGAGGTGTGAAATCATTTGTCTCACCATGTGGACCTTGATTCTTTGTCCCCGTACTTTTCCCATTATATAAGCCACTAGCACAGACTATTAGAAAGAGATATAATAATTTGGGGCAGTGAACATAAACTATGCCTTTACCCACATGACATTTTCGTAACAGTCTCCAATCCTTCCTCTTAGCATTATAGAAGGAATTTGTCCTCTGATATAACAACAAACTAAACATGCGTAAAACACAAACACTTGCTGGAGCCACTGGAGTATATTCAAGAACAGTGTAAATTTAAATGTTGTCAAACAGTATTTTACAAGGCACAGAGTCTGAAATTCACAGAAAATTTATATTTTTTTCCACTGAAAATCAGCTAAATCAGTCTGAGTGGGTCTGCACACAAAGACATCGGCTATCAGGCCTTCATACAGTTTATATACAGTTTATCTTCAAGAAATTAAAGTACCAATGGGGTAAATGATGACCAAAGGAAAATAAATAAATATTTTAAGCTAATTAAAATGTCCACACTCCCATGCATCAGTATCCCTCAGATTATAATGGAGGCTTTGCTCTTTATTTACCTGTTGCCACAGAGCAACGTGTGTTATTGGAGCTCAATTCACGATGGCTTCCTTTCTCTACTCATGTACGTGCTGAACTCTTTGAATATACTCAGAGTTGATTGAAGTAACTAGCTAATATTCTCAGAGTTAATCAGCTCAGAGTTAATTTCTAAACTCGGGGTTTGTTGGACATTTTTCCTGACATAGGTTTGCGAAATATTCCAGAGAACACTCTTTTTATGTGTGTATATATCGCTATATAAATGGTGTGTTTTTGTTGCTTTGTTTGCTTTTGTTTTGTTTTTTTCGTTTTTTAAAAAATATTGAAATCCTGTCTTACTAGTAAAACCTGAGAGTTTATAAAAGTTTATTCTGGCCTCGTTTGGATGATGATGAGACAAACCTGAGATATTTTCTGTGTCTGTTAACTCTAGGTGATGGCCAACATGGTGATGGAGCAGCTGCTGCCGTCTCTGGAGAAAGACATGCTGCCTGGCCTCAAAGCCAAAAAGACTGAGAGGAAGAGAGTTTGGTTTGCTGTGAGTCATTTATGTTTGCAACTGATGCAGTTTCTAAGAAATATAGGATTTCATTTCCCAGCTGTTGAAAGGAAAAATGAATGGAAGTCTGTTTTTCAGGGTTATATCTGAAAAAGTCGTGCACTAATACATTATTCATGAAGTCTCCGGGCTCTTTTCTGCACTCTTGGAAGTCATTTTTATTTTTTAAAAAAGAGCTGAAATTCATTTAAAAAGAGGAAAAACAAGAAAAAAACCCATCTTTTTCATGAATTTGCTACCTTCAGATGGTGGAGGCAGTATATATCCTGGTCCAGGAGGACATGTTTGAGGGGCTATCAGCATTGAAGGAGGAATGTCGGGTGTCTGTTCGGCAGCAAGAGGTGCTGATTCACTCCGACATGGACCAGATCCTCAACTCAAGAAGGCAGCTCGAGGAAAAAATCCGAGGTATTCTCATCTATCTGATAGCCTTGTTACTTAGAACATTCAGAAACAGAATGATGTGTTGCATTCCTCTCCATGTAATGATCTAATGAAGTGCAGCTTTGTATAGGGAATAAGGGTGACGGAATTGGGCTGTTTTCTCAAATGTAATTTTTTTTTCTCCAGCCAAAGTGTCAGAGCCAGCTGAGAAGCTGTGTTCCGACTCTGTCCAGCCGTACCTAGGCTCAGTCCTGGAGGAGCTGATGGAGCCAATCAGCGCTGGGTTCCAGGAAGGACGGCGACTAAGTGAAAACACGATGGACCAAGTGTATCAGGACATCAAGCAGGGATGTGGTAACGAACAGCTGAAACAGGTTGGTTGGAATTTCACTTGTTTGGTTTTTTTCTGATATAACGGAACAAACCTCCAGAGAATTACTTTTGGTTGGGCTGATTCATCTCATTTTAAACCTTCAACTTTATAACATTCACAGGAAAGAGTTAACTAAGGTTAGGAGTAGCGTTTTTCTTTAATACAGGGGATTTTTTCAGAAACTAGATGTTTCCTCAAGCCCAAATTTACCTCTACATAAGTTGTTGGTGACCTATTAGATATTAAGCTGGATACATGCTGGACAGGTCACCAGTCTGTTGCACGGCTGACACAAAGTGTCCATTTGCATTCACTTTCATACCTTGTGAAAGTGAACAGACAAACCTTGGCTATTAATCTCATTCATTTCTACTCTGTCTTCTTCTCTCTTTGTCTCTCAGTCTCTCGACGCCATGGCAAAACCGAACCTGCTGAACTGCTATGAGAAGATCGGCTCCCTGCAGGTTAAACTGCAGCACTTGGAGGCGAGGTTTGGATTCTCCGACACCACAGGAGTGATGCACAGTGCTCAGATCGATTTGCAGCAGGTACAGCTTCATGCTGTCATTCACATGGCAATTTATTTGAATTCCCTTTCCCTCCTTCTGAGAGGGTATTTCTACTGAGATGGAGTGAGTGTAAGGATTTCACAACTCGTTTGTGAATCAGCATTTTATGAAACACTGGCGATAGTTTATTTACTTAGTGTAGTTTATGATTGCTGGTGATTCGTAATATGAGCTTCACTTTTCTTATTAGAAAAAAAACTGTTGATTTTGTCAAATCAACTGGATAATTAGCTAAATGTGAGTTCACTCCTGTTGAGTGGCAGTAAACAAAGTAGAAACAAAAAGCAGAAAGGTTGTTTCTTAAATTGCTTTAACTTTGCTACTTACCCTTGATTAAACCAGAAGATGCCAGAAAACTAGCTCCAGAAATATGTCTGTGAAGGTTCTCAGTCATCCAGGTCATCGTAATCTAAGGAGCTTGGAAAGAAAAGCGTCTGGACTTCTTTAAGTTGCTTGAAGACGTTTCACCTCTCATCCGAGAAGCTTCTTCAGTTCTAAGGTCAAATGGTGGACACAAAGGGACCCCCTGATGATCCTCTACCTAATCACATGAGCCAAGGTGTGAAAACGGGTGTGGGTCACAATGGAGTTTCGGGTGAGCTCATTGTGAAACCTGGCCCCTCGGATGAGAGGTGAAACGTCTTCAAGCAACTTTTCTTTCCAAGCTCCTTAGATTAGCTCCAGAAAATTTGGATTAAGTTTTTATAGTGTACAGTGATAGCAAAAAAAAAAAATCATAACATATTGGGAGTGTTAAGTCCAATTTAATTCTCTGCTTCTTCATTTTAGCTGATTGAGAATGCAGCTTTTACCTTCGAGCAGCTGCTCTACAAAGCCATCCAGGACAACCCAGACAACGCCAGCTCTGCCACTGAGAAGGTCAAACACATAGTGCTCAAGGTCAGTTTGTCATCTAAAACAAAACTTCCCAAGTTTCTAGTTAAGACATGAGAAAATTGTAACCAGGTGCAGGTGAGGTTCACATCTACCCCCTAATATGAAATGTTCACTTGTATACAGAAATGTCATCAGAACTGTAGGCCAAATGCTTGTAAGAGATAACAATCAGAATAGGTCCTGTTTATCTAAAACTAATAAACTCTCCTCCAGATGCACTGACTGGTTTTATTCCATCTTCTTGCAGAAATACGACTATGACAGCAGCACGGTGAGGAAGAGAATCTTCCAGGAAGCTCTGGTTTCCATCACTCTGCCCTTCATCAAGAAGAGCCTGGTGTCTACCTGCAAACCTGTGAGGGCTCTGTCTTTCACACACACACAGCATAATGTCTTTCTATGGACATTAAATTCCAGCACATCTGTTCCTACCATAACTCTACAATTAATAGTAGTTGCTTTATCAACCCTAGCTTATTTGAACCCTAACCATACCCCTAACCCCGGGGACATCTAATTGACAAAATGCTTACCCTAACCCTAAACATCAAAAATTAATGCCTAACTCTAATCCTTAGGCTAAACCTAACAATAACTTAATTGTAACCCTGACACTAAAACCACATTTTGAGTCTCAAAAATGCCTTCAAACTCATGGGGACGGGAATTTGTCCCCATAATGGCTGTTGGTCCATACAGGTATAGCAAACTGCCAATTTTGGAGGTGGTCAGTTTGTGATATTACTCATAACTCTGACCTAACTTTACTGCTCTTATATTGACATTTGTGTCCCATTGGCAGGTGGGACATACATTGGCTTAACAGTTAGCATATGACTGAGCAGCATTAGCAATTTATAGGGAATAGCCTGTATAGTTTATGTGTCTTTCAAATAAAATTTTCAAGGAAATTTATCACGTTCTCTTGTATTTTGATTTGATGAAAATTTAAAGACCCGAACTCTTCCATGGCATGCATTTTAAATTTCTGTTTGCTATTTGGGCTGATTGGGACCTGATGAATGTAAAAACAAAGAATTATGTGATATTTTTTATTTTTTTTGTACCTGATTTTTGTTTCTGAGAAAAATGACATTCGCTTTAAATTTTGATAGAATAAAGGCAGTATAATGTCCTCGTAAGTGGAAAGTGGATATCAGGCCCTTGTAAAGCAAAATGTGATGTCCACATATGTGGACGCCAGGTCTATGGGATTTTATATTTGTATACACTATGTAACACACATATCCCTCAACAAAGCCTGACACTTTTGTCTTTGTCCCTCTATACAGGAGCTTCAGGGTCTTGAACAGATCATCTATAGTGACCATTCAAGCTTCGTTCATGTTGACAATGTTTATGAAAACATCCTTCTGCAAATTCTGGACAAGGAAGTCACTAAAGGTACAAAAAGACTAATAATGGCAACTTAGCAACACACAGCCTTTCCCCAGACACAGGTGTAGAGTTACGTCTAATCGATCCTCCTGTTTGTTCTGTCATTCTGCAGTGGTGAAGGAGGCAGCCAACCTAAAGAAGTACAACTTGTTCACAGACAAGCGAGACCTGACCAGTCAGTCTAGCCTCTCTTCCTTGCCAGCATCTATTCCTGGCAGCCCAGCCATGACACTGGCTTCCCTCAATAAACCTTCTTTAGAGCCGCAGCCTTCTCCACTTGCTTCTAATGATGTCTTCGCCAGCTCCCAGAAGCAAGAACAGCAGGAGGAAGGGAAAGACCAGCTTCAGAGTGAGGCCTTAAAGGACATGATAGTGGGTGAGACACCTCTGGGGAAGGTTGAAACAGGGGTTGGTACTAGTTCCTCTGGCAGTCAGGAATCAGACCTACCAGCACTTAAAGCAGAGGATGTCATCCAAACTGCTGCGGAAGAAGCAGGAAGCAATAGTAACCTCAACAGCCCTGATTTAATAGAGAACATGCCAGAGAGCTGCACAAATGATACAGCAGCAGCAGTTCCAGCGATTGTGATGCATGAAGATGTGATTTCTGTCAAAACAGAAGAAACTAAGACAGCTGCTGAGCCTGAAACGAACAGCGCAGATGCTCCACAAGAACCTCCCACTGCTGTAGGAAGTATAACAACAACAGAAGCACCAAAGCAGGCAGAATCTCTTAATGCTTCTAACCTTTCAGCAGAAGGAACTGAATCCTTGCCTGCCAATACTGAAGCAAAGACACAGTGTGAGAACCCAGAAATCATGGTCGAGGCTCCACCTAGTGGTGAAGCACTAGGAGGAATAGTCCTCAGTGAGAACGTAGGGGACGCAGAACCAGTTGCTTTCTCAGAGACGAGCTCTCTGGCTGTGTCAGTGGGAAGCGAGTCTCATCCCTCAGATGTTGAGTCCACAGATGACGTGTCAACATCCTCAGACATTTTGGAGGGCGAAGCTAACATCAGGAAGTCACCAGTGGGTTCAGGAGATGCTACTGAGGACATAACAGCAAGTGACAAGGTGCCAGTCCAGACAGAGGTGAAGAGTGGGACTGTCATTGGAACTGGAGCCATTGTAGAGGTGGAAGCAGAGGAGGTGGAGAAAATGAAAGCATCTCTGTCTAGTGAACCCGTTCAAGAGGAGACACCTTCCAGTCCTGCCCAAGCACGGCCTCTGGACTGCGTCAAGGAGATCCGTGACCTGGTGGTGGAGGTGATTGAGGTGGAGGAACCTGTGCAGCATTACCCCAGCGGGATCTCCAAAGAAGATTAAATATTCCAGTAGTTGTCACTTCTATATAGAACGGCTTCCACTTCTGATACCAGTCTGTATCCATTATATTTAAACGCGACCATGTGACAGATGGGAAGCCTCCTCAGCTTCCTTCCTATAAATATGCATGATAGCATGATTATTTATATGAATAAATTAGTCTTGATTTCAGCTGAAAAGTGGCTAAACCAAAATGTCTTCTCCACTCAGTGACTTGGACAGGGCTTTTTTTAAACACTACAACTCTTAAATTATTAAAAAAAAGAATTTAGAACAATTTTATAAGTGAAGAAATTTCTGTAAATTAATCTGATATGAAGGATCAATGCATTTGGGATGGGGTTCATATGAGTGTTATGTTTGATTATAAGGGCCATAAAGAACACATTTCCTCATTTCTGCTCTTCTTTCCAAGAAGAAAATGGATGAAGTGTTTGAGTGCAACTGATTCAAATATACTTTTGCAGAATACAGGTTCAGTGCTAATGGTGTTACTTTTTTTGTTAAACCTTTAGTTAGCAGCTTGTCATTTATACCAAAGATAAACACCAAATGTAGCATGTTTTTTCTGAAGTAGTGTGACTGCAGGGAAGATTTTCCTGCTGTCTACTGAAAGTGTGACTTGGCCAGATGTTGTTTCTGAGGGACGATGCTCCACTTAGAAAAGTTGTATTTAAGGTGTCCGCAAGTATGTGAGGGTCCCCTTAGATCAGAGTGATGTAACCGGCTCCTCAAAGTATGAGCACTGGGGGTGAAAAATATGCACTATGAAAAATGTCTGAATCTTTTTGTGTTGATTGTCACATATATTTTATTTATATCCTGTAGCACATTTACACAATAGAAGTTGACTCAAAGTACTTTACATATGTTCCAGGTCTCAAGAAAAAGAAAAAACAAGATGGGAAGCAAAAATCACACTGATCTCCCCGACATAAGCTTAAAATACTGGCCCTGTATTTATTTGGTATTTTCAAGTTTCAGGGTGTTTGGAAATCACTTTAACAGATAATTTAACATACACATACAATATTTACATTATTTCTCCTTATTGTGATTTTTTAAAAATTTAAATATCCACCTAAATACTACTATGGATCAGCCTAAAGTGCCTCTGTAGTACATCCACGTTGCCTTAGATTTCACCAGATATACAACTGGATGCAGTTGCTATAGAGACTGGTCTGTAAATCCATCCATTCATTCATTTACTTCCTCTTATCAGGGGACATGCAGAGGAGTATGTGTGTGTGCATGTGTGTGTGCGTGCATGCATGTGTCCATGCATGCATGTATTCCTAACAGTGCCTGTTTATAGCATATTGACCGTAAACTGTCCACCGGCTGAATATGTCTCATTAGTAAAAGCCTGTAAATACATATATTAAACAAACTTTCCCTGAAAGCTTTTCGTGTGAAAACTTTGTGTTTTGGAAACAATTGATAAATACTTTTATCAGCCAGTAAATCAAATGCAGCAGAATGATTTAATCATTTATTATCCTCAGCATTTTTAATGAACCACAGAAAAAATTTGACTGTAATATTATTTTCTGATTTGATATATTGTCATATTTCAGCAGTACTCCAGGTGCATCAAGGACAAGCAAAATAAGAAAACATCAATATACTATTTTTCAAATGTTCATATTTAAAACGGATTGTTCACAATAAAACGATAAAAGGCAGTTAACAACAGCATAACATTAATATAAGTAAAATATCTTCCAGTGCTCAGGTGAGAGATCAAGTTTGTTTCAAGGCTAATTTAATTAATTGTGCAGTATTATAGGTTTGTAGTAGACGTGTTTATCAGGATGGAAGCTCTCGGAGTGATTGATCTCCTGGGATTTGAGCTGAAGAAACAAAATAGTCACTGAAGGACAAAAGGAGATGAGGAAAAAGAGTTACACTCTTTGATACAGGTAGAAAGTATTACCTGACTGAAAGCTATGTTGAAGAAACAAGTGCAAGGTAGTATGTCTTGAAATATATGTGCTGTGTTTTATAAACCTCATTGTATACAAAAACTGACTCCATCTCTATTTTCCTATGCAAATGTCCAATGGACTTTTTACGCTACTTATCATAGCAGGGCAGGCGCAAAGTTTGAAAACATTCAGGTAAGCTTGTGTTCAGCGGTGAATCAATCGAATCAGAGCAGTGAACAGAAGAGAGGGAAATCGGCAAGCCGGTGCTTTAACAGACTAACATTAGTCACAGCTGCCTCACAGCCAGTGTGTCAATGCAGTGACGTCCAGAAGTCTGAGGCTGCATCAAATGTGTGTCATGTTTTAACGTGAAGCTGGAAATAATGAAAATATTTGAAAAAGCTTGGGGGGGAAAAATCCCAGACAAACAATGAGGTCTGACATGTAGAACGAAGAAGAAATAGTTTAGATTCGACTTTATTTTAGGTCAGTAATCAAAAGGAGGAGATTAGCGTTCCCAGAGTCATATCTTGTTCAGGTTAAGCAGCACTGAGAGTGAAAAATGGGAGAGAAACACATGATTTTTTTCCTCTTGACTTTTTGTTTTTAAAACATCCTTAGACTGCATTTATTTAACAAAATAAACATATAAAAAAGGCTTGCAGTCTGGTTTTGCTGTCTTCCTGCTTTCTTCCTGTTAAAAGTGAATTATTCAGATTAATCAGAATTTCAGATTGTTGTAACTTACTCTCTAATATTTTAGAGTATTTATCTTAGAACATGAAGTGCTTTGAGGAACTTCAGCTTGTATAAAGCAGAAATTCAATTAAATGAAATACAGCTACTGCTGTTTTCTCCCACAAGAAGAGTAAACGCAACTGGATAGAGAGTGAGACAGACTGTGAGCTGCATCTTATCAATCAGCATCAGCGTTGATGCCATAAATGAATAACAGTTAAATACTGTTAAACGCACACCACTAGATGGCGCTATGACACCAAACATCTCATAAAGAAGCCCCTCCATCAGCCCTACCCGTCCACTCACTCAGTCATGGTATTGGACTTTAAAAAAGCCTCATAAAAAGTAAATGCAATATTCATCTACAATGACGCATACATTGGACATCACAGTGACTCTATGAATTACACTTCGCTAATAGCTGGAGGGGTAAACATCAGAGTGGCCAAGCCATAAAAACCAAAGATATGCCAAAAAAACAAAAGCCCCACCATGATGAGAGCGAGGACTGACAGCCAAGCCTAGAGGACCTGGCTGCCCTCCTCAATAGGGGCCTGTTGAGGAGCAATGATAAAGGGCTTGTATCTACACCATATAAATCAGTTACTATGGGGCGTGGATTTGAAGGTTGGGGGCTTTTTTCATGCTCCATCTTCTGACCAGCTGCTTGGAGTTTTAGCCTGGTGAAGGGTTCAATGGGTTGGGCCCGGTTGCCTTGTCAGGACAGAGCAGCTGATGGATAAAGCAGGCTGTGATGGATGACGCCACATCTCGCAAATTCCTTCGTTCTTCAGTGGAAGTGGGAGAATTCTGCTACCCAGCCGTTGTCCTCTCCTGGCCTTCTAAAAATACGAGCTGTTTACTTTGCCCCTGCAAGCTCCTATAATGACATGTTGTTTTTAGCCAAATCACTTCCAGCGATCAGTTGCTCAGCTTGCAGCAACACCCACCCAACCCCCACTGGGTTCATCTCCTTGCTTGATGTTTTGCTTTTGCCCCCTGCCACTTCACCTCCTCCACAATCTTCCTCTCTCTCCTCTTAGGGTAGAAATATGTCTTTTTATTTTCTGCACGCTACGGTTGTCAGGGGGGGATTTGAGAGCCAGGCTAAAGGTGGCTGGAGAACCACTGGAGCTCTGAGTCACACCATCCGCATGCCTGTCTACCCTTTTTGTGGCTTTACTGGTTACACTTACCAGACCTCGAGGCTCTGTATAGGACCTGTATGAGTCCTCCTGGTTTACTTTAGTCATTTACTTATGATATAAAAGTTCTAAAACTGCAGGTTTGAGTGAAGACCTAAGCTTTGGTATTGATTGAGGTTCGTGATATCGACTGAGAACAATGATCTTTTTCATGCTGTAATCTGTTGCCGTGATGGAAAAATGCCCCATTTACTGACATCATGTTGGAGATGATGTGAAGTTCATGTCTTATGAACTTCAAGCTAACTTTTGTTTCAATTCATATTTACTACAAAACTCATTCACACACAGTTATATAGAGCCTAAGCTCTTTGTCTAATACACACTCACACCTCACTTCCTAATGGATATGATATCAAAACTCCATAATTAAACTAATTCGCAGTTGCCATTACTGGCATTTGTCCCTGTTAGTTAATGAAACATCCTCGACCTCATTAAGATGCACCTGATTAAAACGTAGCCTCATCTCTTTATTTATTGTGTTAGTAAAATTAAGTATTTGATGTCTACCGATTTGTTAAACTTGCTTTCTGAAACATCAGTATAATGAAATACATTTATAAGTTAGGCCTTTTTTTGTCCAGGTAAACTTCTTATCTATACTGAAATTTATATTAAGGTGCATAAAGTGTGTGGCTCAGGTGGTCGAGGAGATCAGCTACTGATCGGAAGGTTGGCTTCTCCAGTCTGCATTCCAAATATCTTTGGGCAAAATACTAACATCGGAGTGTGAATGTTGGTTAGATTGCACTTAAGTTTAGAAGTGCTTGTATGAGTGGGTGTGAAGGGGGTGAATGAGGCATGTTGTATACAACGCTTTGAGTACTCCAGGAGAGTAGAAAAGCACTATATAAGAATCAGACCATTCACTCTAAATGTATGGACGACTTGATTTAATTCATGTCAATGTAGTAAGACCTAAATAGGAGTTGGTACCAGCTAAGTTGTAGCTTTTAGTACCAAAACAATCTCCCATGTTAAAATGCCAACGTTACCAACAGAAATAACATGGTGGTAGTGACACAGGCAGCTGTAGCTGCTGGGCCTCATCAACACTACTTCAGCTCATTAAAACCTTTTGATATGTTTGTGAAATTGGTGGCTTATGGAGCATTTTTATGTAATTATGTGACAAATAACACGACTGCTGTGTGGTAAAGAAACCTCCAAGACGTTCATGCTTCAGTTTTGGTGAGTGAAATTGTTGTATTTTATTAGTTGGTTTATTAACAAATACATGTGTTTGTGTGTAGATGACAACTTCAGCATTACACCCTGTGATTGTTTGTGGCTCTCTAAAAAAGCGTGGTAGAAGCCAAAATGCTAAATGTGAAGTGTAAAGCCAATTGGTGAGAGTCATGGTTGTTATGATGGTTATCTTTTATAGTGCAACAGCTTAAAAAGCAGGCTAAACTGAGAATCGAAATATGTTTTGTTCTGTTTTTTAAAATCCGAAGTTAACCCATCCGAGTGATTTTACAATATAAGTCACATTCATTTACTCAGACACACATTTACGCTGCGTTTTGCTCAATGCGCAAACAGCTTGAGGGAAATTTGTTGTGATTTGTCGCCATAAAACTAAAATTGAACTGAATTGAACTTTGTTGCTGAAACATGCTGACAAAACGTACGTTTTGGTATTGTGACAATGGGATCAAACCACAAACCTTCCAGGCAGTGGATAATGATCACTTTGAAAACACTACAGTTGAAGAACCTGATTTATCCAACAGGTCAACTGATGCTTTTCCTATTTCTGTCAGTGTAGCGCCTCAGAATATCTACTACATTTTTTTTAGGATGTAACTGAGATATTCTATAAGCCCAGCAGGACTGAACACCAGAAATGACACATGACATGGCTGCTGTAAGCTCTGATATTTGTGATGATGAAATATGGAAATCAGCCTGTCTGCTACATTATATACATCATGTGTGTTGTGAGAAGCTGACAAAATGAGGGCAACAAAATGAGGAGGGTGGCAACTGGGATAATGGGGCCCAGTGTTCTCATAGATGTCTGTTTGGCCTCAGAGGAGAAGCCCGAGCAGAATATATCATACTGGGAAAATTCTCCTGGAATGAACAGGAAAGGGAATATGGCCCTTTTCCTCCTTTGGCGTGTTCTCCTTCACATATGTCTGACTCTTCCAGGGTTTCGCTTTGAACTTTGCCTGCTGTCATTGCTCAGGTCACGTCTCCTGACAGCCCCTCACTGTTAGACGGCCCCAAGCAGTTAGACCTATTTTTTTGTATTTGCATATACTTTACTCTTGCATTCTTGTACTACATGTATTAGTCCTGATTTTTTTGCACCTGACCAATTTCAGTGGGCAGGTTTTTTGTTTGTTAAGTTACTCAACACTGATGTATGAATCATTCAAGTAGGAAATAATGCACAAACTTCAGGGATGAACCAGCGTTAGGTCAGATAACAGATAACTTGGCAAAAAAACTATTTCAAACTCTGTCTTCATACATTTTCTTTATAGTGTTTAACACATAGTTTGTTGTTTCTTTAG